TATATATATATTTTGTTGTTGTTTTAATCGGTGGGAAAAATGCAGAGAAGCTGGGAAGGATGATAAATACTTGCAATTCATGAAAGCTAATGGTGCTGACAAGTGGCATCTAATGAAAAAAGAACTTTATATAAAGTACCCCAGTGCCGTTTCCAATCCTGAGAATTTTTGATTGTGCTAGAGTTTCAAAATCCTCTGGAAAGCTCTGTCCTTTTTCCTTTCAAACGGCAATTCAGAAGACTGAGTAGCATTGGTACAAAAATCAACTTTAGGCATTGTCAAGTTGTTTAATTACTACATCTCTCTACCAGGTTGCCGTGGAAGAAATTTTCTTCCTTTCTTGATGTAATCAATGGAATCTCAGCAGAGGCAGACCTGAGAAGAAAAACTTGGGTCCAGATATTTGAGGGCACTGTAAGCTGTCTTGCAAGGATAAGACTGTGTCCTGCGGGAGATATTAATGGTTATAGTCACCTATATTTTTCCCCCCTCCCCAGAAATCTAATGCAAAGCTGGTATCTGTTTTGAAACATGGGAGATGCCTATCAAAAAAACAGGGGAGTGACTGGGGTGAGACTATTCCTTAAGGAAATTTGGCTTAGCTACTAAGATTTGCTCAGAAGAGAGGGAAGCTGAGATCTGAAGAACATGGAGTTTTCAGATTTCCAATTTCAGATGTAGCAAATCCTCTTACTTTTTTTGGCACTGTTTTGCCAACTTTTTATTCTGAGGAAGCTACCCAAGAGAAAAGACAGAAACAAAATAGCATAACTTCTTGTTAACTTTGTAGCCTTTTTGTTGCTTGAAATAAAAAAAACTAACATATTTGATTTTCTCCCTTGGTTTAGTTTCTTTAAACAGCTGATGAAAGGGTACTGGGTATCACTGAAGTAAATGGCCTCCATTCCTCTTCATAGAACATCTTGAAATTATCCTTTTAGGAGAGCGGGGTTTTTTTGTTTGTTTGTTTGTTTGTTTTTGAATGTGGAGTATTTTAAACATGTCCCAGGTCAGTTCTGTTGAAATAGTACATTATAGTTCTTGAGCTTTTCTAGGTCTCCTCCTCTAGCTAACACTCACAGATTATTTTCTTCTCTGCATTTCCCTTGAGAGTGATCGAATACATTTAAAAATGGTTACTTGACGTTATTTTAATTTTTTTTCTCCTTTTATATGTGATCTTAACTTTCTTGGTGGTTTATCAATCTGTGCTACTGTTGCTGTTTATAGCTGAACATACTCAGCATTGCTGTTTGGGAATAAATGGCTCAGAAGTCTCACAGCTATTAGCTGTTTTTTTGCATGTTCCTATTGCATGCTGATTGATGCACTGCTAAACTAACTTTCCACCAACTTCACGGTAACAGTGGATTTGCATTAAAATCACTGTATTGCAGCTGTCTAATATCATATATTGGAAGTTCTCTACCTCTTGTCTTTATTACTATGAGTGGTTCAGGAAACGGTGAGGCTGGATGCATGCCTTCTGGGCTAGCACTAAACTGGGAGAAACTGTTGCCGTTATCTGTGCTGCAGTTCTCTTCTGTGATGTGCTTTACCTCCGCAAGCTTTTTTCTGTGTTTCTGATGATTTACTTCCTTGACGCTTTCATACTGCTTTTTTGAGGAACAGGAATAATGCTTGTAGATGTTTCTACATATCATACTGTCCTGAATGGGCTTTTTCATGCTTTCCATAGACAAATTCATTTTCTCTTGCTGATACAGGAAATGGTTCCCTAATGGTGCCATCTATTCTAATAGCACAGCAGCCTTATTAGCTTAAATGAGAACAAAGCACTTCTCGGGTTATTCCTGTTCTATGTACATTCAGAATGTCATATAACTTCTCAGTAAGCTGTCAGTTACTGTACTGTTTTTGGAATAAAATATTTCTTGAATGTCAGAGTTTAAATCGAGGAGTAAATTTGGAAGCAACGGAGGTAGCAGAGGAAAGAGGAGACATAGAGTGAATAAATGTATTTTTAATGGAAAAGATACACAAATTATTACTTCTGTTATAGGACAGCTATGAGACGAACAAGACAAATGCTAGTCTCTGCTCGTTCATGCAGTTTCCATAATTTCACAAGAGAACTTAATTTGTGGTTAGGCACTTGTTAACTCTTCTAATGTATTAAAAATGGTAGTTATTACTGTTTTCATGTTATATTAAATTTAAATACTTTTGGCAGACATCTTAGTAGTTAATGGCAGGCATTTATGTGTGTTCTTCCTAGTCCTTAATATTTGTGTTACTTACCATTCCATGCAGTGATTACTCACCATGTAATTTTTTCACAGTGAGGGCCATGGGAAGTTGACGGTATTTTCAGTGAAAGCTATGTTAGCGACAATGTGCGGTGGGAAAATTCTGGACAAACTTAGATGTAAGTATTGTCAAGCAAATCAAACGATTATGTGAAATACTCTGCTTGGAAAATTAGTCAGATATCTTTTATTGTACTGAGTTTTGAAAACTAACTTTTTTGCTAATTCAGCAATCTTTATACTGATGTGAAGCTTGATATGTTAAGTTTTTTGTAACGCATGCCACCTACTGGCCATAAAACATACTGAGTTTGTTACTGAGTAGGCTATACCTATATATTTGTGTATATTAAAATGCTTGGGCCCTTTTTTAATGCAGAACTCTTCTGACAGTAATTTAAATTATGTACCGCTTTTTCTGGGGATGTTGGAGGGCTTCTGTACATCTGCTTCACTTGAGACTCTCTGCATCTTCTCATTTGGTTAATTCAGCTTCTTGCTTCTAATTTTTTAATTGAATTTCTGCTCTCTGTTCCTCAGTTCTACTTACTGCTTTTCTTATTTCCGTAAACACGCTATCCATTACCTTTTATCTTTTAGTAGTAATTCTTGTGTTCTCTCTGTCTCAGTGGCAAGGCATGCTGTTGGGTTTTCTTGTTTGTTTTGTTTTTTCCTTCCCACCTTGAAAAGATGGGAAGTTAGTATTATATTACTGGCAGTGCCAGGTTTACTGTTCAGATCCTGTAATTTTAACCTCATGCTGAATTCCCTTTATGAAAGTTATTCTGTAAGAGTTTGTTTCTTCTGGTCACCATGATTGTCATTCACTCTAAATAATTCTTTAGACTTTTCTGCAGTATTAAATTATTTATTTCATTTGTTTTAAAACAATAGAAAATATTAGTGGACTGAATTAAACTACTTGATAAGTCCTGAAAAATAATTGGTAATGAGGAGTCATTGCATGAGCAAGTTACTATTAGGGTTGCACATGGTTCAGTATCACCCAGTGCTGTGTCTGTATCTCATAGTAAATTTAAAACTGCTTCTGATTAGAAATGAAGGCTGCAAGTGACTAAAGATTAGTATGTTAAATAATGAAGACAGCCATATATTACAGAGTTTATTTAAGACTTCTTAAGTGTTTTTAAAAAAAGTACACTACCTCTATAAAACAAGCAAGATCAAACACTGGGGAAAAAGATGCAGACTTTATCCACTCAATTAGATGCAAAATCCAATCCTCTTAAGAAAGATTTGAGGGGGAATCACAGAAGATGAGCAGTTCAGAATGAGTCTGAGACAGAGAGGAGTATTATTCATGTGCATAAACAGGACAACACTGAAACACTCTGAGAAAATAGTAATAAGAGTGACCTTTTAATGGAAAGGGCAATTAACCATTGGAATTAAATATTATAGGAACCAGTAAATTTTTGATGTTGTCAGACAAAGACTAGATACCATTCAGGGAATTATGCTTAGCTACAAGATATTAGTTCAAAAAGTGAATAGTAAAAACATTTTCATCTGAAGGACTGCTGATTTAATAATCCTATTTAACAGATCTCTTGGTCTTAAAAAGCAAAATCTATGTGTTTACTGTACTGTTCTCTCTTTACAGTGTCTTTTCTTCATAGTATTTGAAGCTGCCTTTATCCTTTTTCCTAATTCTATTGACTCCAGTTTCCTTTCCTTCTGTAACTCTCTTGTATAAACATTCTTGACTGGCATTCATTCAAGTTGGAGGAAATTCTTTTGATCAGTTTCAGTAAATACTGCTGTTTCTTATAGCTTTGCTATATTCTTGTTGTCCTACCTTTTATTTAATTATTCCTTAAATCTCGTCAGCTGATGTTTAATTTACCTTGTAATTCTAGGACCTCTCCTACTGTATCTGCTGTCCCTGTTTTCCTGACTTTTGTTGGCACGTGCAGCATCATTTTCCAAAGAGCATATGACTTTTGTGTTTCACAAGTGCTTTGGAGAATAACACTCTCGTTTTTTAAATTTAATGTTAAAACTCATTTCCTCTTCTTGCCATTCATTCACGCTGATTTCCCACCGTTTGATATTCTCAGGCTAGTTTTTATGACAGAGTTAGTTGACCACACTTCTATGAAATCTTTTTTTTTTTTTTTTTTGGGGGGGGGGGGGGGGGATGGAGGAGGGTGCTGTTCTATTGGGAATAATATCTTACGAGTCAACTGAGAAAGAAAAATTTGTCTAGCCATGACTGTAACCTTAACATGACTTCCACTGCTTTGTGAGAGCTTGCCAGATTCTTCACATGCGCTGTCTGATGTGGACATTCCTCTGTCCCTCCTACGCCCTTTGTCTCTGCTTAGTTAGACAGGAAGTTAAAGACTGGAACCTCCAACCTATTATTCTCTGAAATGGTCATAATGCTATGCATAGGATTAGACATTGTGGGGAGATTTTAGGAATAGAGGAAACATGTACATGAGGGAATAGCTTTCTCTAACCCAAGGCACAAGCAGGCTGTTGGTGTTTCAAACACAAGGCTATAGGAGAGTTCACATGGAAAACTGGGGGAAATTAGAAACGCATGATTCAGAATAGTAGGATCTTGTAGGATTCAAGATCAGGATTCAGGATCTTGTAGGGCTGAAGTAATAAAATCTTGATGATGAGCTCAAGTGAAAGGGGAGAAGCAGACAGAATTCGGAAGGGAAATGGTTAAGAGGAATCTGAATGGATAATCCTGTTAAACAGGGCATCAGAAATAGAAAAAGTGGACCAAATGTATATGTGTTTTTAGAAGAACAGTAGAAGTCTAAATAATAAGATGAGGGCATGAGAAATTCTAATTTAAAGCAGGAGATTGATGAAATAAGTCTTTCAGAACGTGGAGGAAGATAATCATTAGGATACTAAAATGCTAAGGTGCAAATTACATGGAAAAGACAGTGGAGATTGTGGTAGAGAGGAAGGATCTTATTTATTGAAGAAAGTTTAGAGGAAAATCAGATAAATAAGTTGCTATAAGACTGGTAGCAAAGAATGTACTCTGGACTGAAATTTCAGTCCTACATAAAGAATGTACAACATGGGGACAATGCTGTTGCCCACCTGACCAAGGTAGGAACAGTGAATGTGGTATTTTGAGAGGAACTAGGGAGGACATAATATCAGTTATGACCCACTGGATAAGTGACATGATGATTATCTGTTACTAAGTTAAGATCAAAGTTTTAGGTGTGACATAAAACAAAAAAAAACTGCTTCATGGAAAAGCTGGGTTAGATAATTTACAATGGAGAAAGCAGGTATGGGGAAATGCACACAAATTTTGTTTAAAAATATTGTTGGAGGACCTCCTTGTAACAGTCAGTATAGCATGGATTTTCTATCCTTTCCTGGCAAGAGAATCTACTATGGCAGTATATGTTACAATTCCAGAAAATAACTACATAAAAATGAAGCAACTTTTTGAAAGTAACTAAAGGCCCATCTAAAAGATAAAATGTTTGCAGGAATCATAGAGACCACTTAAAGATATGATAGTAGATGGTAAGCTCATAGTTTCATCTGCCAAAAATACTATAGAAAGACTCTAAAAGCTCTTTAGAGCTTTCTAAATAGGGTCTTTAGAAACACCCTTCCTCCTCCCCCAAGAAACAACCTACCAGACCACAATAACACGACAGTTCTACTTTGGGTAAAAGAGGCTATCAGAGGTAGGAAGGCATCTATCAACCTGAAGCTCTTTTAAAACTACTGTGCAAACTACATCAGGTTAAATATAAACATAATAAGGCAGGTCAATAAATAATTTCAGGGGAAAACTGCAGAACATACGAAAAAAGAAAAACAAATACTATTTTTTCAAATATATCACAGAATCACCAAATGGCCAAGGTTGGAAGGGACCTCTGGAGATAATCTAGTGCAACCCCCCTGCTCAACCAGGGTCCTCTAGAGCACATTGCCCACGATCACATCCAAGCGGGTTTTGAATATCTCCAGCGAAGGAGACTCCACAACCTCTCTGGGCAACCTGTTCCAGTGCTCTGTCACCCTCAGCACAGAAGTTTTTCCTCATGTTTAGATGAAACTTCCTGTGTTTCAGTTTGTGCCTGTTGCCTCTTGTCCTGTCGCTGGGCACCTCTTGACGCCCCCCCTTCAGATACTTGTCCACATTGAGGAGATCACCTCTCAGTCTTCTCTTCTCCAGGCTGAACAGGCCCAGCTCTTGCAGTCTTTCTTCCTAGGAGAGGTGCCCCAGCCCTCTAATCCTCTTGGTAGCCCTCCGCTGGACTCTCTCCAGGAGTGCCATGTCTCTCTTGTCCTGGGGAGCCCAGAACTGGACACTGTACTCCAGGGGAGGCCTC